AGGTGATTCCTGCCGTGAGTCAATCCGGCATCTCCAAGGGGTCCGTCACTACTTTCTGCATTTCTCTGGCGAGTTGTTCATGTAGTGATGCTAATTGCTTCAGCCAGAAGTTCGGAAGACGGTCGTGCCTGGGGCTCTTCCAGTTCGATGTTTGTTTGAGTGCCTTCTGCAGATCAGATGTTGTAATCTGGGGGTCACTCATTTCGGGAGTAACTGTTACCTCCCTCTGACGTCGGAGCCATGTGACATCGACGTTGTGGCTCGCCGGGCGTTCCATGATGTTCGACCGGAATTCTTCCACTTCCTCCTTGCCAGGAATCTTCTTTACTTCTATGGGTTTCGCTTCCAGTTCCCGGTAGAATAGCTTCTGACTCTTCGTGAAGCGCTAGTTATGCCGGAAGTAATTGACCTTTTTCGTGTACCGCTTCATCCTCAGGGCCAAAGCTTGGATCTTCATCTTCACGTTCTCTATGGCGGTCTGGAGATCGGCATCAGACATGATCTCTTTTACTTGTGGCACAGCCGCTTGTAGGTCAGTTTCACTCTCTGGAATGTGTTCCCCTTCTTCATCTCTTGAAGGGTCTCGCCTTGCTGCATCGATCCGACTTTGGAGGCGCCTCTTCCAAGGCGGAAACGAGGAAGGGCCCTTCCCGGTTTTCCGGGTCGGCTTTCCTGGTCATTGCCATTTCTGATGGATGGTTATGGCTGCTGCAAAGGCACGGTGGTTCGGCTCAGTCAGATCGCAGTCTGCAAGGTCGCAGGAGCTGATGATCTGGTTGATCTCCTCGATGTCTTTGGAGATGGTAAGGTTGAGCTTTAGAGGCTGAGCTTTAGAGCAAACTTTATTTTTAGTCGGGGTCGATCGGACATCTGTAGGTGCCGCAGATCTTCCAGATGGTCGAGGCAGGCGATTCTTAGTTCTTCAGAGGGCGTTTCAAGCTCTGAAGGAGCCTCAATTGCCCTCGGTGGAACCTGAAGTGGAGTCTCTTCAGGTGCCATACCCTCCTGGTGGCAATCAAATTAATACCAATCTGCCTTCGTCCAAAGGCATATTGACGTTTTTGAATTTTTACATATTTTTCTCTTTTTAATCCAGGGTCCAGACTCGTCTGTATTTGTGCATTTTATCATTAAGAGGAACGTGGGAATGTTGACGGAACGACTGAGGTCTCTGCTATCCATCCAGCAATGATTAGAAAGCTGAAAATGCTGTAAGTACCAAATGGGCAGCAATAACATTTTCGGGTCTACTGCTTACATATTTTATTTTAGTTTAATTTTATCCACTTGATCCATTTTTTTAGGACGTGAGTGAAACCAACAAATTTTTTTCACAGAAAAAGAAAAAAACATGCATTACAGTGTTAAATAAAAATGAAAGGACGATATTTGAATCAAATGATGTACCAATTGAAATTTTTGTTTTTGATGAGATGGAATGGATGGTTCTATTTGTGAAACCTTCTTTAAACACGATGGATAAACTAGAGAATCAGCAATTATTTTGATTAAAATGGAATGCAATAACATTATAAGATACTAGCGAGTTTGTTTGCCCTTCGGGCAAACAAACTCGCTGTGGTCGCGACTTCGGCGCTCCATTACCTTAGATAGTGATTAATTCATGTATTCTTCGCAAAATGCCACACACGTATTTAAAGTACGTCCCCATTGAAATACGTGACATATGGGGACGAAAGTCTTCATTTTTTTTATCAAAATCATTACTTTTATCATTTCTGGCGTGCCTAACTTGAAATCTTTTCATGTGCCCCTTTTTGGAGGGTGGAGAATACATTTTGCAATACTTCCCTCCTTTAATCTATGCTAATGGGGCATATTTCAAAAGTAGGATTTTTCGTGTACTCAGCCATCAAATAGGTACTTCTGAGGGAATTTTAAATATCTGTCTCTGTTTCGTTGGATCAAAAAATTATTTAAGAAAATGGGACTTTAAAAAAGAACTCTGATAGGTTTTAACGAAATTTTTTTTCTTCTGAAATTTAGACTCAGGGAGCTCCATGCCACCCAATTTCAGCCTTATACGTTTCCCATTTTTACTGGTGATAAAAAAAATTGTTTGGGGGGGGGGGAAACGACCCACCCAAAAGCTGTGCTCTGTGGAGACGCACAGCAAAAGTTGAATTTTTCCTTAAATCAACATCACGTGCGTTATGCGAGCGCCAGCTGCTACTTTTCTATTTCTGCTGGATTCGTTACGATATTAACAATTCTTTGAAAACATAATGTCCCCAAGAAATATCCCCCCCAAAATTCAAATATATGGGAAATTTGACAGATTTCCTGAGCTTAGCGCAGGGCAGTCACGTTCTTGCCAGGTCTCAGCTTTCCATGTGTCTCCGTTTGATTGTAGCAAAGAGAACTATTTGAAATTATGTTCCGCGAAAAGGTGTGCCCCTATGGCATGTATCACGAAAATATAATTTTTCCTGAACTCAGCATGCGAATAGCGACTTATGTCAGTCAGTCAGCTACTCACGATCCTCCATATATAATAAAAGTAGAATTTTTTCTTTGCTCAACTAACCATCAGATTTTTCTTCGGCAAGATTAAACTTTCTAGTGCCCTCTGTTTTGCTGGATCGAGAAAATATGCCTTTTTGCAATATATGTGCGCTCAGGTGTTTTAACCGAAAAGTACAATTTTTTATACCAAAATCAATGCACAGAGAACTACATACCCACAAGGTTTCAACTTATTCGTTTGGCCTTTTCGCTGGTGAAAAAACATGCTTGGAAAAGCCTACCCACCCAAAAGCTATGCCGAGAGGGGATGCACCATGAAAGCTGATTACTCCCTCGACTCAATAATATTGTCACTTATACGTGTGCCAAGTTTCACTTTTCCATTTCTGTCCAATTCGCCTAGACAATTTTTTTTTAAACATCGCCCTTCGAAAATATTCCCCAGGGGATGTATCGAGACTTAACATTTTCCTTGAACTCCTTCTCTCAGTAGTCACATTCATGGAAAGTTTTAGCTTTCCATGTTTATCAGTTTAAGTGATGCAAAAAAAATTATTTGAAAACATCTCCCTTTGAAATGTTTGCCCTCTGGGGCATTTACTTCCAAAGTCTGAATTTTCCTGCATGCAGCATCCCAATATGTAGTTATGTTCCAAGTTTCATCTTTCCAAACCAACTCAATACGCCAAGGCAAAAAAAATGAGGCGAAAACGTCGGCCCCTAAAAACATGCCCTCACATGGCATGGATCCTAAATTTTTCATTTTTCCTGAAGTCATCGTCTCGGTAGGCATGTCCATGACACGTTTTAGCTTTCCATGTCTCTCAGTTTTACTAAAGCAAAAATATTATTACGGAGGGGGAATGAGTAACGCGATTTCGAAAGCATAAGAGGCCGAAAGAAGGCGAAGGAACGGCAGTGAATTGAACCTGGGCCTGCTGATTGCCGGTCAGGTGCGCTACCACTACACCACCGAACCCAAGACATCCTCTCACGCCACTCGATGCCATCCGAATCCGTCACAATATATATATCTTTAAAAATTACTCCCCCCAAAATGTGTATCCCCAGCGTATGTACCTCCAATGTCGGATTTTTTCTGAACTCTGCATCCCAAAAGGTACATGTGCACCAAGATTTCAGATTTCTAACTTCCCTAGAACATGGTTAGAATTAGCGTCAGTCAGTCATTCAGTCAGTCAGTCACGATCGTCTATATGTATTAGATGTTACCTCTAAAGCAACAAAGTATTAGGGTTCACCTATCCAGTTCTATTCATAAGCCAACAAGTATGTTTGCTTAAAGAAACCAGACAGATCAAAGAGTCAAGACTTAAAATTCTGTGATCTTTGATCATTTTAATCTTGAGCACATACATTTTGAAGTTAATGGTAAGCAGTTCCCAGATAAACCAATTAAATGCGACTTTAAATATTATGTAGAAATGTATACTAGGTTCTTAGAAGCATGTAAAGAAAAAAGGCATTTATTGATTACGAAGCCCTAAAAAATACATACTTTATCTTTTATGTCGATGTTTCTAAACATCCTTCAGAACTATAAGGAAACACCACTTTTCCTAGTATCGTTATTAATTTGAAACTTAAAAAAGCACCAGATATCCGAGATGTGCGAGAAGCTTCATTAAATATTAAACAAAAGAAGATGCAAGTCATTAAATAAAATTTAGATTCACCAATTAGCAAAAAGTTCTCAGAAAAACTACAATGATGCTATGTTATGTGTATTACAAAGCGTAAAGTTTCTTTCATGACTTACTTAAATCACGAAGTGTATCGACATAATAACCAGTTAAATGAAATACGTTCAGCATGCAAAACCGGAGCTGGAGTATTAATTCGTATAGATCCTACTGAAAGAAGTAATCATGATTTAAATGTCAATAAACCTCAAATCAATTAATTAAAATATGGATAGCCTGGAGATATTACGCTCTCAAAGACTAAAAAAAACTAGGAGGAATTATATATATATATATATATATATACTAGCGAGTTTGTTTGCCCTTCGGGCAAACAA